GCCTCTCTCCAGGGCTGACAGACCTCTGAGGCCAGGGCCCAGGTCGGAGGCCTAGGAGCCGATGCACACCCCACTATGGAAGTGATTAAGACAGGCAATGCTTGGTGGACACAGAACACAGAACACGGAAACATGGCTGGCCCTTCAGTCCCTTTCTACCTCAGAGTTCCCTTTTATTTCTAGAACTGGGGTTGAACCCAGGGCCTCACACATGCTAGAAAAGTCTTCTATTGAGCTGCTCCTCAGGCCTCTTTTCAGTTTTTATTTTGAAACAGGGTCTTACTAAACTGCCCAGGCTGACCTTGAACTAACTATAGCCCAGAGGGACTTCAAAATTTCTATCCTCCTGCCTTAGCTTCTTGGGTAGCTAGGCCTGTGCTACCAGGCTTGGAGTTGCTCCCAGTTTATGTTGGCTGCCTAGCACCCAGAGAAATGGAGGGCCAGATGGGAAGTTGGGGTTTCAGGCCACCTGTGGGGACCAGGGCTTCCTGTCCTTGCTGGGTTCCACAGAGACCTAGCCGGAAGGGAAGTGTTTCCTACCACACCCCTAGCTGGCTTTTGCCTCAGCTTAGGGATTAGGTGGCTGTGACTGATTTTCTGCAGTATAGGAGGCTAACGGGCTGCTGGTGTTTCCTATCCTTGCGGAGGACAGGGAGACACCCATGTCATTGCTGAGACTCCCCCAGAGACCCCTTGCTGCAGCAGACCCAAGAGATGAGGAGCACAGGTTGGCATGAAAAGGACACGAGGATGTATTCTTAGGTTGCAGTGACCTTGAAACAGATCTTGTCTTTGGGGCCCGAGGGTGGGGTAGAGGGTTGAGTGTCTCTCCTGGACATGGCTACCCACATCCCTCCCTAGGCCTCCATAGGTTTTCAGGAACTCCACCTTTTCCTCGAGACATTGTCATACTGACCATCAGGTAGGTGGTGGGGCTCAGAGGATACATCAGAAGTTCTAAATATGAATACACAGGCCAACCTGGGCCCAGGAGTCCCATCACTTATATTGAGAGGGGGAACAAGGTCTCTGCGCAACTTTTGACCTTGTCTCCCAGATGCTGTGGGCTGAGGCCATCACTATGCTGTCACCTGCAGTACAGGGCTCTGAATGTTCATTTTTGATGGTCAGAGGCAGGAGAAGGGAATGTCTCTGTGACTCATGAAGTCACATAGGCAGGAAAGCTGGAAAACCACAAATAAGAGACTCAGTCAACAAAGCCCAAACTACTTCAGGCTATTCTTGGAAACGACACATCACATCTTGTTTCTTCCCAGAAAATGCAAAACCTTGCATATTTCTAGCTGGTTGGTTCTATTTCTATTACATCTCAAACTCCAGAGAGGCAACATCTGGGCGGTGGTTAAAAAGGCAGACTACCAAGAACCAGCCACCAGGAGCCTCTGATTGAAGTATTCTTGTTTCTGAGACTCTGTGGTCTCGTGTAGCTCAGGATGGTCTTGAACTCACTTTGTAGCCAAGGATGACCTTGAACTTCTGCCTAATCTCTCTGCTTATACCTTGAAAGCACTGTGATTATAGGTTTGGATCACCAGGCCCAACTCTGTTTCAACAATTTTTGAGCTTTGTCATTTGGGACTGGTGAGAGTGTTCCCCAGAGGTCACGAACCCACAAACCTCTAAGAAATGGAAGCTCACAGTACTAGGCAGGCCCCTGACCAACACTGCATGTGTGCATGTGTGCAGTTCATTATCAAAACTCCCTGGGTGAGATTCCCCCTTGACATATGGGGAAATGAAAACTGGCAAATCCAGTGATTTGTCCAAGACTAATGGCTAAGGAGGGAGCTCAGACCTAGATCTTCCGAACTGATGCTCTTGGCTTTAGAGTTTTTGTTTGTTTTATTTTATTTAAGACAGGGTCTTCCTATGTACCCCAGGCTGGCCAAACATGCTTCTGCCTCCCAAGAGCTGAGACTACTGAGATGTGCTGTAGTTTTGAGGTTTATGTAACGTCTTGACATAGGAAGCTAGTCTAGCAGGGTTTGGGGGTTTTGCTTGTGTTTTGTTTTGTCAGTTATGGGGCTCAAATTCAGAGTCTGTGCATGCTAGGCAAGTGCTTTGGGAAGCCAGTCTAAACCATGAATTATGCTGCTTTTTAAGTTGCTGTTTGAGCCCTTGAAAGACATCCCAAAGCTGATTGCATCACTCTCTTGTGATTCTGTGTTGTGAGAAGTATTGTCTCCATCTTACAGACAAGAACACTGAGGCTGCCGACTGAACACTGGCTTGCCTCATGTCCCACAGCTGGCAAGTGCTTGAGACCAGACTCAGGTACAGATTTCCTTGACTAAACAAATGCTCTGATGTTCCCACAGCGATGGCCACCTTCATGTGACAGTGCCGTCTTAAAGCGGTATGACTTGGCAGTCCAGTCTTTAAAAACGTGGAGACTGTTTAGATTCAGAGAGGCATGTTCAAGCCTGGTACAGTGGGGCTCGTGTCCAAAGCCAAACTTAACTCCTCCCATGGGCCCTCTACCTCCCCTTCTCTTATTGCACCCCAGATAAGAGCCAGTTCTGGAGCTCTCACACCCCCAGACCCTTGCACCGCCTTAGCCTCATCCTCTCTTGGAGTCCAAGATTTAAGTGGTTTCAGGAGAGAGAGAGAAGACAAGTTCTTCAGGTTTGTAAATTGTCTCCTGGGAGCCAGATCTGGCTGGATACTTACCAATGGTGTGCAACTGTAGACAGATTTTAGACGGGAAACTGGGAGTGGAGAGCGGGTTTGGCTATAACGTGTTACATGCATTACATATGTTAGCACACATGCCCAGCACTTCCTGGGCCCGCGGTTATCATCCATCTCTTAGAAGAAACCAAGTTTTGGCATTTAAGTGGCTTGTGTGAGGTCATGTGGCAGTGAAGGGGCTCTGCACACCTGCTCCCATATCTCCAAGGTCACCCCACTCCAAGGTCAGTCCATCCTTAGCAGGGATTGTGGGGTTGCACTAGAATCCTAGGTGCCTTGTTTTGTCTCCCAACTACCCTCCACACCCTCATTCAGTGCCACACTGTTGTGCTTCCAAAGATAGATAAGTCTGGGAATGTGAACACACTCAGAGAAGCAGATGAGTCCCACTTTTTGTGGGTGCTTTCTGGGTGGCAAGTATGGCATGCAGAGAAGGATGAGACATGGGAGGTCACAGTGCTGATGTGAGATGCCAAGCAAGTGCCGGGGATGTTAGAGGAGCTAAGGGAGCACAAGGGAAGGAATTCATGTCTCCTCCAAGATAGGGCACTGGCATCGCCGGTCCTCTCCACCTGTGTAACTTGTTGGGTGGCATGGATCGGGGTAGCCAGATGGGCATATGTTGGCCTGGCCAACATATGCAAGTTAAGACCTCGCACAGGGATGGGGGTTAATCTCCATATGAGCCCGGTGCCAGGCACAGGGATGTTCTCAGGGGAGCAGTAGGTGAGGATAGGCTCCCACATGAGCTATGTATATCCCTTGGCCTGGAGGAGATACTCCATGGTGGATCTCAGAACCCCTAATCTACCACTTTTGCAAGAATCTTGGGCTGCTAACACCTTGAATTGGCTGTTGCTGTAACTCTACCAGCTCTTTCCAGACTCATGTCTCTAAACGGTGTCTCACTGGCCCATAATGTCCACTCTTCCATCTTGTACTGAAACCCTCCTCCTTCCTACAACAGAAGCAATTTGGCATTTCCTGGGGACTTCTTCTGCTTCTCTGAGCAACCCCAGGCTCTTTGGACAAAGTGCCCTTTTGCCCATTGTTCTGTCTTCTTCCCCAGATGGGGTCTCTCTATGCATGATCCATCTCTGTATTCCCGGCACCCAGTGCGATGCTGACATTTTCCAAGGCACCAGAAACTGTTGTGGATGAATCAGAAATTAGGGGAAAAGATACACAGCCTCCTGACTGCTTTGGGTATTTTGAAACCAAACTCCGATCCAGATGTGCCCTTCATAGATGATCCTATCTGGGGAGTGTGAAGCTGCCTGGGGCCTTCTCCTCTGTGTGTTGTCCAGTCTCCCATTGCCAGGCCCCTCAGTACCCCAACAGCTGGCCAGCCCAAAGCCCTCACACTGGCCTTCTTGCACTAACTATACATTTTGAGAGAAAAAAATAGCTTTGCTTTGGAGAAGTGGCTTTCCTTCATTTTCATTTCTTTGAAGCTGAAATGACTTCCCTAAGAAATGCTTGAGGTTAGAATGGCACAGAGAGAGGGAGGTGGGAGCACGTCCCAAACCCAAACAATTTCAGCGATGTGAATGAACGCCCGCCCCATTGCGTGTCTCCTCCGTCGGACCAAGCACTTGTTCAAACAGCTCCCTGCTTGGTCTTGCACAGAACAGGCTCCTTTCACTATTGGCAAAGAAAAGGCCATGTGACTCTGTCTTCTGGTTGTCTGACTGAGGTAGATGGTGTGCTTCCAGCAGATTCCAGAAACAGAAGTTCTAAGGGGAAAAACCTCACCCCAGGGTAATCAGTGGAAAGGATCAGGGAGTCTGAAGGAAGATGGTCTATGGGGTTTTTGCCTGTGCACTGACATAATTATAACTAAGTTGAATTCCTGTTAATCAATTTGTAGCACCAAGAATGATAGGTTTTCCACAGGGGCTAAACCAACTGTTCCATTCTGGCCTTTTCCTTTTCCTACTCGCTGTTTTTAGAACCATCTGACTTGCGGCATATTGCCTGGGCCCTGTTGACATTCTCTGGAGTATATTTATATAGCTTTGTGCAATCTGCAGTTCTCCAGCCAGGGAAAGGACTGGGGGCTGGGGAGAGAGGTTGCCAGCAAGGTGTCATGCCAGGCTAGAAGGTACATTGGACCTTCTCCAAATAAGGTCCAGGTGGAGCGGTGAGCACGCGGAATCAAGATCAGGCCTTTAGTCCCTTTAAAGGATATGAGACTCACCTGTCAACGCCTTCCTTTGCAGGTGTGACACTTTCCCAGCACTTTATGGTAACCCTCTCTGACCCCTCCACACCACTGTTCCACACAGCTCCTGAACCATGGGAGAAAATGAGGATGAGAAGCAGGCCCAGGCCAGCCAGGTCTTCGAGAACTTTGTGCAAGCTACCACATGCAAAGGCACGCTCCAGGCCTTCAACATCCTCACCTGCCTCCTGGACCTAGATCCGCTGGACCATAGAAACTTCTACTCTCAGCTCAAGTCCAAGGTGAACACCTGGAAGGCCAAGGCTCTGTGGCACAAACTGGATAAGCGTGGCTCCCACAAGGAATACAAGCGAGGGAAAGCCTGCATGAACACCAAGGTAAGGGGGACCCCGCAGACATTCCCCATGGGATGGGAAGCTGGAGAACTAGTGTCACCTTGCCACTTGGAGATTCTTTGTAGATGTGCCTGTGGGTGCTATCTCGTGTTCTCAGGGGAAGGCTTCCTTTGTCTGGAAGGGGTGCCATGAAGTTGATCCTGTTGTGGTGGCCACAGCTCCCCCTTTGTACCTTCCCCAAGGGAGGGAACCAAAAGCAAAATGGGGACATGAAGCAAACGCCACCATCGTATCTCCTACTTCTCCTGTCTCTACAACCCTGCTGCCTGTGGGCCCTGTTCTTTATTGAGCAACTTCTGTATACAAGGTAGCTTTTGTCCCATTTGAGCCCATTGAACACCTGCTGTAGGTCTTTGAACTGCTTTAGAGGTGTGTAGACTAGGAAAACAATTGTTTTACCTGGGTTCATACTTCCAGAAGGCACGGTGGCTCTGTCTGAGTCTATGGCTTACGCACCATGTTACCTAAAATGTGTCCTTTAAGTGCTTGTCTACTGGTAGCAAACATTTTAGAGACTCCTGTTTGTTTTTGTTGTGTGGGGGGTGGGTGGGAGTGGGTGCACTTGCCTGAATGTGTGCATGTGAGGTCAAGGGTCAACTTCAGGCATCTTCTTCTATTGCTCTCTTTTGAGACAGGCTCTTTCACTGATCTGATAGCTCGGTATTTCAGCTAGACTGGCTGGCCAGTGAGCCCCTGCGATCCGCCTGTTTCTGTCCCCTCAATGCTGGGCTTGCAGGTGTCTGTCTCCGTGCCTAGATTTTACATGGCAGCTGGGGATTGGAACTTGGATCCTCAAGCTTGCACAGCAAGCTTTCTACTCACTGAGCATCTCCCCGTCCTGACTCCCTGATTTTCATTAATAGCTATAGGGTAGTCTCTGGTCTTTTCTTCTTAACATCTCCTTGCCCCTTCCCCAGGATCTGTGTCACATCTGCAGATAGTCCCCATAAACTGGTTGTGTCCCCCGTGGCTTGTGATTGGCAGCATCAGTGAACCTAGGACCCAGAGCATCACACCTCTGACATCTCTGCCATGTCACCACCTGACAAGCTGCTAAAGCTGAGATTCATTGCCTGCCCCAGAGGACTGTCGCTGGTACAGATCCAGGCTGTGTGTTTAGGTTAACGTTGAATGCACGGTATTTAGACCTCTCAGGAGGTAGCTCAGCAGAGCCCATGGAATTCTCCTCTGTGCCAATCCCAAGACAAGAGGATTGAACTCTCCATAGCAATGGAGCTTGTTGTGTCTTTGTTTTGGTGATGGGGAGTGGTTGAGGCCACCGTGGGATACGGCTGCTTTCCATTGCCCCAGGGGAACAGCTGCCAAGCTCCTGAGTCCCAAAGCACCAATGTGCAGAGTACAGGAAAGCAGCCCAACTGTACTAAAACCATGTGCACTTCAACTCTGAGGAGGAGAGCACCCCTCTGCCCACTCCCCCCATGCTGATCCAAACCTTGCCATGCTCTAGCCTCAAGCAGAAGACACCAGGGTGGCAAAGGAAAGGGGAGAAGACAGATGCCTTGGGTGCCACTCCACTCCCACCAATGCCTCCCTTCAAAGTTGTTGTAATTTCCTGGTTCATGGCTCCCTGGGGATTGGGGGAGGGTGGGGTGCAGGAGGCTTCAGAGTTACCTTTTCAATCATTGTATATGGTGGCTTTCTTTTTAAAAGGACCCTATGTATGGTCCTTGCAAACCTCAAGAAAGTCACAAGGAAGGTACCATAGAAAGAAATTGTGTAGTCACTATTTGACACACTCTCTCTCATGGAGGATTTCTTTGGAACTGTTAGCCCAGGCTGGCTTTGAACTCATGGCAATCTTCTTGTCTCAGTGCTAGGGTTAGAGGTGTGAGTCACCTTGCCTAGCAGAACTGTTTTATTAGGAAGTGGCATCGCCCAGGTGGCTGATCCAAAGGTGAACCTTCTGAGGAAGTCAGCCAGCAGGGCATGAGAGGAAGGCTGGCTAACATGATGTCTTTTGTTTTGAGACAGGGTCTCATGTAGTGCAGGCTGGCCACAAACTCACTATGTACTGGTGGCTGGCCTTGAACTCCTGATCTTTCGCATCCACATCCTGATTGCTAAGCTTACTAGCGTGCACGTCCATGTCTGGCTCTGAGGGTGTGCCTTGAAAAATCATCAGCCAGAGGGTGGCTTGTCTTGTCTGGTCAGTCCTATTTTACAAGCTCTAGTGGCTTGAAGCAGCCGAGTCCTCACACCTTGTGGCTGACAGACACTATGTGTACCTGAGATACAAAGAAAACGAGAACATCTTTGGTTAGCGGGGCTTTAGTAAGTAGTAGTACCCCTGAGCTTGAGTTGTTATGCCTTGGTGAGGAGGAATGAAGGCTTTTCGAATGTGCGAGAGTCTATCTTATTAAAACTGCCTGGCTGGGGAGTGGAAGGGTCTGAACAGGCACTGGCAGTCTAAACTGAGACTCTGGGAGGTCACCTATGCTGGTCTTTTCAGCACCCCAACTCACACCAGTCAAACCGGGAGGAAAACCATTCAGTAATGGAGGCAGGATGGTTCATCACGCAGTCTTTCCCATCCTTTCTCCTTCCATCCGTGTTGGATATGTTGCTGTATTCCGCTGTAATGTGGGCAGGTTTCTCTCCTCCTGGAATGTCTGGGTCCCATCTTGACAGGTCTGTGACCCAAAAGGTACATCTTTCTCGTGCAGCTCAGTAGTGGATTTTTGATTACCCTGCCTCTGGATTCATAATGATCAAATCCAGGAAACCTGGCTACTGTAATTGTTAGCCCTTCCAAGCATCACATGATTGACACGAGGGTGGAGCAGCTTCCCCAGCCTGGGAGCTCAGACAAACACAGGTGTTTTCCACATCTACTAGTTACTTTTCTCTGGTCAGGCCCTCCCATAACCGATTCATGCATGGGTGATGGGTAGTCAGCTCTAAGAAGCCATGCTGCTGTTCTTGTGAGTCAAGCCAAACCACAGAAGATGGGTCCCACCTGTCCTCCCACGTGACAGACACTGACTTGTTCACACAGCATGTTTATATTTTCTTTGACATAATAGTTTATGCTTAGCATCAGCCAGATAAGAAATACTAGACCTTAGCAAACATGTGGTTGATCATAAATGCTATTCCAGATAATGCAGGTGCATTGAATGCCTGACTTCATTAAAGCGCCCAGTTAGCCACAGGCATGAGTAGGAACAAATGCAATTTGTCCTGACCCCTTCTTTGTATTGAGGGGAACATGATCCAATACCATCTGGAGTTGATTTGGGCTTATCAGCCCACCACCCGCACATGCTAAGTTCTGTGGTTGCTTCCAAATCCCTAACCACACATGCCTGCGTGTGCTGGTGGCAATGGCCGGAGGGCCAGGACCTATGAGGAGAAGAGCTACAGTGGAGGTACCTAGAAGTGAAAATGACCTAGCAGATCTCCAAAGCACTGGCCCAAGTGTGCATTGCCTAATTTAGCCTGAGATAGTTGTTTATGACCTATTAATATTTATGAGGGTTTCATTAGGCACTTCATAATTCATTCCCTGGGTGTGGCTCTGGATAAGAATGGGGTGAACCAAGGATCAAATCATATGAACTCTCTTGAGATTGATGCCACGTTTGCACTAGGGCCACACCTGGCTCAGCTGTGACATCCAAGTGGGTAGGTCTTACGCCAGGCCCAGATGAGCCTGTAATATGTAATTTGGTATGGAGCTGTCACACCCCCAAATCCATGCACTTATGTAATTCTAGAAGCAGTGTGAGAATAGTGTTCTCTTCATCTGGCAGGTGTGGGGGTTGGGGCAGGCAGGGAGCCACAGCTGTTTCGAGGGAGCCAGTGAGTATCACGGCTAGGGTTCAGGCTATCATGGTTTGCCCCAGCAGCAGGTGTTTGTAGATCCCTGCACCTTAGCTAGGCGTCCAACAGTAAAGATGGTTTGAAAGATGCTTAAGAAGGTATTAATCAGCCAGGTGGTGGTGGCACACGCCTTTAATCCCAGCAAGCGGGAGACAGAGGCAGGTGGATCCCTGGTCTACAGAGTGAGTTCAGGGCTATACAGAGAAACCTTGTCCCAAAAATCAACAACAGAAAAGAAGGCATTAATCTACCTTTTACACAGTGTTTGAAGCCAGCCTGAGCTACGCTGTCAAACAAACACTGCCAGTGAGATGCTGAGGTGGTTCAGTGGATAAAGGCACTTGTCATGCAAGCCTGGTGACCCGAGTTCAATTCCTGGAGCCCACGTAAAGGTAGATGAAGAGAACCAGCTGCACCAACATAACTTCTGACCTCCACACACATCCCACAGAACACATCCCCCAACACACAATAATAATAGTAAATTTAAATTATATTAAAAAAAAAAGAAGTAGTTTTCAAGTTATATGTGGCTGCCCATGCCTGTAATCCTTACACAAGGGAGGTAGCAGCAAGAGGACCAGTTCAGGGTGAGCCTGGGCTACATGAGGCTTTGTCTTTAAAAAAAAAAAGTTCTCACCTGAGCTTTTTATAATGGAGACAGGAATGTAATTACTTCCTTATTCATCTACATATTTGATCATTCACAAGATGAGTGTTACAGAGCTAGTACTATGCACCAAACGCTTATCTAGGTACCTGTAAATCCTTCCGTAGTTCTGCAGGCCTCTTTGCTATCTCTCTGCTTTTCTCTGTCAAATAAGAATAACAGTGTGTCTGTTTCATAGTGACTGTTAGGGTTAAATACAGTCACCCTTGTGGAGTCCCGCAGTGTTGCCTACCACATAGTTAATGATCAGCAAACATTGAGCCATCCCAATCATTACCATCCAAGTGCTGTGAGAGGGGTGTGTACTCCAGTATGCCGGGATACAGGAAAACAAATGACTAACTGGCTGGGGTAGTCTGGAAATGGTTCCTGGAAGAGGGTGGATGGTGTGGGAGTTTGCCAGGTAAGCAGGGCTCTGTCTTGTAGAGCTAAGGACAGAAAGAAGAAAGACAATCTAGAAAGAGGCATT